TCCCTGGATATCCAGAAATGCAGGAATGGACACCCAGGCCGTGTCCTGTTCATTAGTGCCCATTCCCATGGGATATCCAGGGACCCCAAATTTCCATTTTTTTGAGAAGGAATCCTCTGCAACGGCTGCCTTGGGATACCTGGAGCCACCTGCACAAGGCCCGTTCCAAATCCCACCCAAATCCCTGGATTGCAATTCCAGAACTCCCACCCCAATTCCCGGGACGGGCCAGGAGCTCATCCCATAATCCCAGAGATGGGATAACAGGGAATTCCCAACGCTCCCCATTCCCGCATTTCCACTCCCAAAACCCCTCCAAGGGCGGTGACGGGAAGAAAATTCCCGCAGGATTTTCCTGAGGTGGATCAGGAAGGGCTGATCCAGGACACGGAGCCCTGGAAGCTGCAGGAGCCTCGTCAGGCAGCCCCAATCCCACGGGCATCGCCGGTGCCGGGGCTCAGATCCATTAAGATCCCACAAAACCCAAATTGAAGCTTTTTGGGAATGACTCGGCAGCGGCGGCGGAAGAGCGGGAGCGCATTTGGCTTTTTAGGAGCAATTTCAGGTGGATTTTTTGGGGTTTTTTTTGCTCTTAATTCCTTTTATTTTTGGCAGCAAAGAGGGAGAAAATGGCCCGGCTGGAGCCCAGATCCATTTGTGGTTTCCAGAGGCAGCAGCGGCCGGAGTTGGGAATCTCCGGGGGCCAGGGAATGACTCAGGTCGGGAAAGGGGAGAGGGGACAAGGAGAGAGGGAAACTGGGGAAACTGGGATGGGAGAAAGGGAAATTGGGATCAGAGAGAGGGAAACTGGGGAAGCTGGGATGGGAGAGAGAGAAACTGGAATGGGAGAGGGAACTGGGATGGGAGATGGGAACTGGGATGGGAGAGAGGGAAACTGGGATGGGAGAGAGGGAAACTGGGATGGGAGAGAGGGAAACTGGTCAGGGATGGTCGGGATTTGATTCCCAGGATTCTGTGGATCAGGGAGATTTGAGATGTATTTCCTGGGATGCTGTTGGTATATTTGGGATGTGATTCCCAGGATGCCAGTGGGATGGTTGGGATTTGATTCCCAGGACACTGTTGGGATATTTTGGGCTCCAATTCCCAGGATGCCTTTGGGATATTTGGGATGCAATTCCTGGGATTCTGTGGATCAGGGACATGTGGGATAGGTTTCCAGGGATTTGTGGATTAGGGACATTTGGGATATGATTCCCAGGATACTTTTGGGATATTTTGGGCTGCGATTCCCAGGATGCCTTTGGGATATTCGGGATATATTTCCCGGATTCCTTGGATCAGGGACATTTGGGATATGTTTCCCGGGATGCTGTGGATCAGCGACATTTGGGACATGTTTCCTGGGATTCTGTTGGGATATTTGGGATGCGTTTCCTGGATTCTGTGGATCAGGGACATTTGGGATGTTTCCCAGACCCCATGGCTGCCAGGCCATTCCGGGTTTCCCGCTCCATGCTGGGCCCTGCCGGATCAGCCGGATCCAGCCCAAGCTGTCGCGGCAGCTGCCGCACCCCAGGAGCAGGAAAAGGCAAAGGAGCTTCTGTAGCCAGGAAGGATCCCGCAGATCTTTGTTCCCAAAAACGCCGCACCCTGCCAGAGTGAATCCCAGGGGATCCCAACGATCCCGGATCCTACAGTTCCGGATCCTACAGCACACAAATGACCCTGCACGCCATTAACCCACGGCACGCCATTAACCCACAGCACCCCATAACCCACAGCACCCCATAACCCACAGCACCCCATAACTCTGAACCCCATAACCCACAGAACACAAATAACTCTGAACCCCATAACCCACAGCACTCCATAACCCACAGCACCCCATAACCCACAGAACCCCATTAAACCCACATCCCATAACCCTGCACCCCATTAACTGCATGGCCCATTTACTCACAGGACCCCATAACTCCACACCCCATAACCCACAGCATCCCACAACTCACAGAACCCAAATAAATCTGAACCCCATAATCCAGCACCCCATAACTCTGTACCCTATAACACACAGCACCCCATAACCCACAGAACCCAAATAACACTGAACCCCATAACCCTGCAACCCATAACCCACAGCACCCCATTAATGCTACACCCCGTAACCCTGCAACCCATACCCCATTACCCATAACCCATTAACCCCACACCTCATAACCCACAGCACCCCATTAATCCCACACCCCATTAATCCCACACCTCATTAACCCCATACCCCAAAACCCACAGAACCCTATAAACCCATACCCCATTAACCCTACACCCCATTAACCCCACAGCACCCCATAACCCAGCACCCTGTAACCCTGCACACCATTAACCCCACACTCCATTGACCCACAGCACCCCATTAACCCCATACCCCATAACCCACAGAACATCATTAACCCCGTACCCCATTAAACCTGCACCCCATAACCCACAGAATCCCATAACCCAGCATCCCATTAACCCCACACCCCATACCCCACAGCACCCCATAACCCACAGCACCCTGTTAACCCCACATCCCCATAACCCACAGAACACCATTAACCCTGCAAACCATACCCCATAACCCATACTCCATTAACCTCACAACCCATAACCGTAGTACTCCATAACCCTGCACCCCATTAACCCACAGAACCCCATTAAACCCACTCCCCATAACCCACAGCACCCCATCAACCCCATACCCCATAACTCACAGCACACAAATAACTCTGAACTCCATACTCCACCGCACCCCATTAACCCCACATCCCATAACCCACAGCACCCCATAACCCAGCACCCCATTAAACCTACACAGCATAAATCACAGCACCCCATAACCCACAGTTCCTCATAACCCTGCACCCCATTAACCTTGCACCCCATAACCCACAGCACCCTATAACCCACAGAACCCAAATAACTCTGAAGCCCATAACCTTGCACCCCATAATCTACAGCATCCCATAATCCACAGCTCCTCATAACCCAGCATCCTATAACCCTGCACCCCATAACCCACAGCACCCCATAACCCAGCACCCCAATAACTCTGAACCCCATAACCATGCACCCCATACCCCACAGCACCCCATTAGACCCACACCCCATTAACCCCCACCTCATTAACCCCACACCCTTTAACCCCACACCCCATACCCCACAGCACCCCATAACCCACAGAACACAAATAACTCTGAACCCTATAACCCCACACCCCATAACCCACAGCACTCCATTAACCCCACACCTCATTAATCCCACATCCCATATCCCAGGCTGGAATTCCCTGGGACTCTGGAATTCCCACGGGATCAGGTCTGGGTTGAGATGCCAGCACAGGTGTGAGGGACAAATGTCCCCTGGTTTCGGGTGACAGCAGCTGACAGAAGCTGTCCCGGGATGGAAAACTTGGAAAACATTCCCTGCTCCAGAGGGTGGCACTATCCAGCCCCACAGGGATGATCCCGAAATCCGGGGGCAGCAGGAAAAGCGGGAATTCCACCCCGGTGAGAGCCCACATGGAATTGAGATCCCAAAAATCAGTGGGAGAAGGAACTGGGAGAGCTGGGAATGTGCAGCTGGATCAGGGAAAAATCCAGGGAATCCTTGGAGCCGCTTCCCCATCCCAAAGGGGCTCCAGGAGAGCTGGAATTTGGGCAAGGGCTGGAGGGGCAGGAGGCAGGGAATGGCTTCCAGGGGGAAAGGGGAGCTTGGGATGGTGGGATCTTGGGAAGGGATTCCTGGCTGGGCTGGAATTCCCAGAGAATCCCTGAGAGCATCCCAGGAAAGGTTCGATGGGGTGGGATAATAGGATGGGATAATGGGATGGGGTCGGATAATGGGATGGGAGAGGATGCAGGTGGAGACAGCTCTGGAGCAGGGTTGGGATTTGGAGTTTGGCATTTGGGGTTTGGGCTTTGGGAGCTGTTCCCAGATTTCGGATTTGGGGCTTTGGGGTTTGGGAGCTGTTCCCAGGGTTGGACTTTGGGTTTTTGGAGCTGTTCTCAGGTTTGAGGTTTGGGATCTGTGGTTTGGGAGCTGTTCCCAAGTCTGGGATTTGGGGTTTGGGGTTTGGGAGCTGTTCCCAGGGCTGGGATTTTGGCTTTGCGATGTGGGGTTTTGGGAGCTGTTCCCAGATTTGGGCTTTAAGCTTTTGGGAGCTGTTCCCAGGGTTGGGTTTTGGGGTTTGGGAGCTGTTCCCAGGGTTTGGGTTTGGGATTTGGGTTTGGGAAGCATTCCCATGGTTGAGATTTGGGTGTTAGGGTTTGGAAGATGTTCCCAGGTTTGGGAATCGGGATCTGCATTTTGGGAGCTGTTCCAGAGTTATGATCTGGGCTTTGGGGTTTGGGAGCTGTTCCCAGATTTGGGATTTGGGGTTTTGAGAGCTCTTTCCAGAACTGTGATCTGGGCTTTGGGGTTTTGGCAGCTCTTCCCAGGTTTGGGATGGGATCCAAGCTTTGGGATCTTTTCCCAGAGTTGGACATTGGGGTCTGGGCTTTGGGATCCATTCCCAGAGTTGGGAACTGGGATTTGGGTTTTGGGATCCATTCCCAGAGTTGGGAACTGGGGTTTGGGTTTTGGGATCCATTCCCAGTGTTGGGAATTGGGATCTGGGCTTTGGGATCCATTCCCAGTGTTGGGAATTGGGATCTGGGCTTTGGGACCTGTTCCCAGCACCAGCCGCGCTCCGGGGCTCGGACTCTGTCCCCAGTGGTGTCACCCGGCCCCGTGCGACACTCGGGGGGTCCCCGGGGGCCCTGGTGCTGAAGGACAGCTCCGCCCCCTCCCCCGCCCTCCCTCCCCCTCCCTCTCCCTCCTCCTCCTCCTCCTCCTCCCTCTCTCCCTCCTCCCGCTCCTCCGCCGGCCCCGCCGCCGCCGCGGCCGCCGCAGCCGCGCCTGGGCCGCCTCCCCCGGCCGCCCGCCCGCCCGCCGTGCCCGGGCGCTGCCGCCATGCCCCAGCCGGCCCCGCCGCGCCCCGCAGCCGCCGCCGGCGCACCATGAAGCGGCAGAACGTGCGGACGCTGGCGCTGATCGTCTGCACCTTCACCTACCTGCTGGTGGGCGCCGCCGTCTTCGACGCGCTCGAGTCCGAGGCGGAGACGGCGGAGAGACGGCGGCTGGAGGCCAAGAGCGACGAGCTCAAGAGAAAGTACAACCTGAGCGCCGAGAGCTACGGCGAGCTCGAGCGGGTCGTGCTGAAGCTCAAGCCGCACAACGCCGGCGTCCAGTGGAAATTCGCCGGCTCCTTCTACTTCGCCATCACCGTCATCACCACCATAGGTACCGGCTGCCCCCGCCCCGCCCGGCTCCCCGCGGGCAGATCCCGGCTCGGGTTTTTTCCTGGTGGGATCGGGGGATCCACGCGGGAAGCACCGGGAAAGCCCCGCCTGTCCCCGAGGGAGCGGGGGGAAATCGGGAGCTCGGCGCTTTCGCCGCCCGGAGACCCCCCCGGCACAGCCGCCGCCCGTCCCGCTGGGACCGGGGCGATCCCTCCGCTCGGTTCCTCCGACACCGGGAAAAAACCCCGGTGCTCTGTGTCCCGTCCCTTGGGATACATGCGATCCCTCTGCCCGGTCCCCCCTGTTTCCCATCCCGGTGTTTTCGGGGCGATCCCTCTGCCCGGTTCCTCCTGTTTCCTACCCCGGTGTTTTGGGGGCGATCCCCCTGCCCAGGCCCCCCTGTTTCCCATCCCGCTGTTTTCGGGGCGATCCCCCTGCCCGGTGCCCCCTGTCTCCCATTCCGCTGGGACGGGGGCGACCCCTCAGCTCGATTCCTCCGGCACTAGGAAAAACCCCCCGGTGCTCTGTGTCCCATCCCTTGGGATCGGTGCGATCCCTCTGCCAGGACCCCCCTGTCTCTCATCCCGGTGTTTTCGGTGCCATCCCCTGTCCGGACCCCCCTCTCTCCCACCCCGGTGGGACCGGGACGATCCCTCTGCTCGGTTCCTCCGGCACCGGGAAAAAATTCCCGGTGCTCTGTGTCTCATCCTTTGGGATCGCGGCGATCCCTCCCTGGCTCCTCCAGAAACGGGAAAAACCTGCCCAGACGCCCCTGTCTCCCATCCCGGTGTTTTCGGGGCGATCCCTCTGCTCGGTTCCTCCAGCACCGGGAAAAACCCGCCAGGACCCGCCTGTCTCACATCCCGGTGGGATCGCGGTGATCCCCCTGTCCGGTCCCCCCCTGTCTCCCACCCCTCGGGATCGGTGCGATCCCTCTGCTCGGTCCTCCTGTTTCCCATCCCCGTGGGATCGGGGCCATCCCTCTGACCTGATTTCCGTTTCTCATCCCGGTGTTTTCGGGGCGATCCCCCTGCTCGGACGCCCCCCTCTCCCAACCCTTGGAATTGGGACGGTCCCCCTGGCCCGTTCCCCCGTCTCTCCCATCCCGGTGGGATCCGGGCGATCCCTCTCCGGCACCGGGAAAAACCTGCCCGGTGCTCTGTTTCCCACCCCTTGGGATCGGGGCGATCCCCCTGCCCGGATCCCCCTGTTTCCCATCCCGGTGTTTTGGGGGCGATCCCCCTGCCCGGATCCCCCTGTTTCCCATCCCGGTGTTTTGGGGGTGATCCTTCTGCCCGGATTCCCGTCTCCAATCCCCTGGGATCCGGGCGATCCCTCCCCGGCTCCTCCAGCACCGGGAAAAACCTGCCTGGTCCTCCCTCTCTCCCATCGCTTGGGATCGGGGCGGTCCCCCTGCAGGGACGCCCCTCTCACCCGTCTCAGGGTTTTCGGGGCGATCCCCCTGCCCTAATTCCCGCCTCTCCCATCCCTTGGGATCGGGGCGATCCCCCTGCCCTGACTCCCGTTTCCCATCCCGGTTTTTTGGGGCCATCCCCCTGCCCGAATTCCCGTCTCTCCCATCCCTTGGGATCGGGGCGATCCCCCTGTTTCCCATCCCGGTGTTTTGGGGCCGATGCCCCTGCAGGACCCCCCTCTCTCCCTCCCATCCCGGTGTTTTTGGGGGCGATTCCCCTGCCCAGACTCCCGTTTCCCATCCCGGTGTTTTGGGGCCATCCCCCTGCCCTAATTCCCGTCTCTCCCATCTCTTGGGATCGGGGTGATCCCCCCGTTTCCCATCCCGGTGTTTTGAGGGCGACCCCCCTGCCCTGATTCCCATCTCTCCCATCTTTTGGGATAGGAGTGATCCCCCCGTTTCCCATCCCGGTGTTTGAGGGGCGATTCCCCTGCCCTAATTCCCGTTTCCCATTCCCCGCCCAAGACCCCCCAAATCCCCGACCCCGGGACTCCCCCCCGCCCCTCTCCCACCGGGAAACCCTCGCGAGACCCCCGGGACCGGGGAATGCCCCTGGCCGGGACCCTCCCGACCCTGGGATGTGTCCCCAAGGCGCTTTCACCCCCCTGTGGTGGCTCTGCTGGCCCGGACACCCCTGTGGGACCCCCAGCCCGGGGGAGGGGACAGGATGTGTCCCTGTAGGGTCCCCAGCCCGGGGAAGGGGACAGGGATGTGTCCCTATAGGGTCCCCAGCCCGGGGAAGGGGACAGGGATGTGTCCCTATAGGGTGCCCAGCCCCAAGGGGACAGGGATGTGTCCCTATAGGGTGCCCAGCCCCACAGGATGTGTCCCTGTAGGGTCCCCAGCCCCACAGGGTGTGTCCCTATAGGGTCCCCAGCCCCATGGGGACAGGGGTGTGTCCCTGTAGGGTCCCCAGCCCGGGGGAGGGGACAGGGACGTGTCCCTGTAGGGTCCCCAGCCCCATGGGGACAGGGGTGTGTCCCTGTAGGGTGCCCAGCCCTGTGGGGAGGGGACAGGGACATGTCCCCACCCTGCCAGGCTCTCCCAGGGTGTGTCACCTCTGTCCCCCACACTCAAGGATGTCCCCAGCCCTGTCCCCATCCTGGGAAGTGTCACTGGGGGTGGCCCCTTTGGGACCTACCCCCCGCCCCCCCCCCCCGTCACCCTCATTGTCACCCCTCTGTCACCCACACTGTCACCCCATTGTCACCCTCACTGTCACCCCTCTGGCCTTTGGGTCCCCTCCAGGGGTGGCCGGGGTCACCCAATGTCCCCTGGTCCCCAGCTGCCCCCCAAACTCTGCCCTAGGGAGGGCCTGAGAGGTGGGGACAGGAGAGGACAGTGAGGGGACAGCAGGTGACACAGGGCCCTGGCCACCATTCAGAGAGAGGGGAGGGATGGGTTAATGGGATAATGGGATAATGGGATGGGGGACACCAGCTTTGGGACAGATTTTGGGGTGTCCCTGGTTCCCCAGGCCTGTCACACAGATTTTGGGCTGGCACTGGGTCCCCAGAGCTGTCACACGGATTTTGGGGTGTCCTTGGGTCCCCAAGGCTGCCACGCAGATTTTGAGGTGTCCCTGGGTCCCCAAAACTGTCACACGGATTTTGGGGTGTCCCTGGGTCCCCAGAGCTGCTGTCACATGGATTTTGGGGTTCCTGTGCATTCCCAGGATTGGGACAGGGATATGGGGGTGCCTGTTTGTTCCCGGGGCTCAGATCCAGGTATTGGGGTGCTCGTGGGTTCCCAGATTTGGGCTGTGGATATTGGGAGGATTTCCGGGCCCTAAATCCTGGTGTGTGGAGTCAAAAGATTTCCCGGTGCTGAAACACCACGGTTGGGGTGCTCGTTATTCCAGGAGTTTTTATCCCGGTGTTTGTCATTCCCAGAGCAGTTGTTCCAGTGTTGGTTATTCCCAAGGCTTCTATCCCAGTTTTTTTATTCCCAGAGTTGTTATTCCCACTCTCAGGGTGTTCATTATTCCCAGGGCTGTTAGCCTGGTGTCAGGGTGTTCATTATTCCCAGGGCTTTTAACTTGGTGTCAGGCTGTTATTCCAGGGCTTTTCTCCCAGTGTTTGTCATTCCCACCCTCAGAGTGTTCATTATTCCCGGAGCTGCTATCCCGGTGTTTGTTATTCCTGGAGCTGTTATTCAGGTGTTTGTCATTCTTATTCCCACTCTCAACACATCCCTTATTCCTGGGGCTTTTATCCTGGTGTCCAGCTGTTATTCCAGGGCTGTTATCCTGGCGTTTGTCATTCCCACCCTCAGGGTGTTCATTCTTCCCAGAGCAGTTATCCTGGTGTTTGTCATTCGCAGAGTTGTTATTCCCATTCCCAGAGTGTTCCTTATTCCTGGGACTTTTATCAGGCTGTTATTCCAGGGCTGTTATCCCGGTGTTTGTCATTCCCACCCTCAGGGCATTCATTATTCCCAGGGCTGTTTTCCCAATGTTCATTATTCCCATTATCCCGACATCGGGGTGTTTGTCACTCCCAGCACTGGTATCTCGGTGTTTGCTATCCCCATTGTTTTCCCACCCAAGTTTATTATTCCCATTATCCCGGTGTCAGGGTCTTTGTCATTCCCAGGGGTTTTATCCCTGTGTTTTACACTGCCACCCTCAGGGTGTTCATTATTTCTGGGGCTGTTTTCCCAATGTTTGTAATTCCCATTATCCCTCAGGGTGTTTGTTACTCCCAGAGCTGTTATCCCGGTGTTTGTTACTCCCAGAGCTCTTATTCCCACTCTCACGGTGTTGCTTATTTCCGGGGCTTTTATCCCAGTGTCAGGCTGTTGTTCCCAGGCTTTTATCCCAGTGTTTGTTATTCCCACCCTCAGGGTGTTCATTATTCCCGGGGCTGTTATCCCGGTGTTAGTCATTCCCATTATCCCGGTGTCAGGGTGTTTGTTATTTCCAGGGCTTTTATCCCAATATTTATTATTCCTGGAGCTGCTATCCCGGTGTTTGTTATTCCTGGAGTTCTTATTCCCACTCTCAGGGTGTTGCTTATTCCTGGAGCTGTTATCCTGGTGTCCAGCTGTTATTCCATGGCTTTTATCCCTCTGTTTGTCATTCCCACCCTCGGGGCATTCATTATTCCCGGAGCTGCTATCCTGGTGTTTGTCATTCCCATTATCCCGGTCTCAGGGTGTTTGTTATTCCTGGGGCTTTTATCCCGATATTTGTTATTCCTGGGGCTTTTATCCCCATATTTATTATTCCTGGAGCCGTTATCCCGGTGTTTGTTATTCCTGGAGCCATTATCCCAATATTTATTATTCCCCATGTCAGGGTGTTCATTATTCCTGGTGTTTTTACTCTGGTGTTTGTTATTCCCAGAGTTGTTATTCCCACTCTCAGGGTGTTCCTTATTCCTGGGACTTTTATCAGGCTGTTATTCCCAGGGCCGTTATCCCGGTGTTTCTTATTCCCACCCTCAGGGCATTGATTACTCCCGGGGCTGTTTTCCACATGTTCATTATTCCCATTATCCCGGTGTCAGGGTGTTTGTCATTCCCGG